AACATGCCTTGCTATACTGATTGAGCTTTCCAGCTTGGCTCATTCTATAGAGAAATGTCATGCAACCTTCATTTTACATGAGTGTACAGTATTAAGAAAAATGTTCACTTCAATGGATACTCATAATATTACAAAATGGTTCAAGCACATGATGTTCAATTCTGTCCCCTAACTTCTAATTATGTACATCCCAACATAACAGTATGATTTAAAATATCTTAATTCAGTGTGATCATCATGGAGGCAGCAAGGATCTCTGAAATGTTGGTAAACTTCTACAAAACTACACGGTGCTACAATGCAGAAGACAACCATCTTCCTACTTACTTGTGTTTCTTTTATATAATAACTTATACAACAGGTTAAAAAGTGTGTGTACGATACATAAATGCTCAGAAGATTCAACAGTAACCTGCCATAAGATCACTGGCTAATATTCTCCTAGTCTTAATGGAAGCAGGGTGGGGAAGATAGATACATTCCGAGTAGCCTTACCTGTTCACGCCGCATCACCTTCTCCTCTTTCTCCCGTTTCCTCACGTCCAGCAAGTATTCATTAAATAAACTCTCACGTTCACGCATCTTCTCTATGTTTCTAAATCTTTCATCTTTCCCATGCTTCTGGGCAAAGTCACTAAAGGATGATCTGTAAAACAAAGAATTACAGAGCCACTTCAGACACAGATTCAAATTTTCCTTAAAGAGATGACAGTTGTATGTTCTTTATCTCCCCACTGTATGTTTCATTGGTGAAGTATCTTCTTGTGGTGAAAAATACCAAAGCTTAAAGATAATATGAAACAGTACATTCAACATTATCTTATGGGCAAGAACCATTACAAACATGAATATATAAATGGAAAAGTTGTTCGTGTTAAATGCATACTGGCAACATAAAACTGGACCTATGATTTCACCTAGCACTGCAACATCCCAACATATGTCACCGACAAATTTCAACATGTTATCACTTCTGAGAAGATTTTAAAACAAATGTTATCTTCTTTAAAGTTAACCACTCAAGAAAATTCTAACTACACAAAAACATTAACTAAAAATATAATTTTATGGCATATATATCACTTGTCACACCAGGAGGCACCCCCTGAAATATATTACTTTATATTTTTCTTGTATTCTGGGTTTATACCCTATCTGAAAGATGGCTTATCCAGACATGTAACATGATAAGTAGTTATATCACAGAACAGGATACTTGATAAATATCAGTGTTTCAGATATAAGACATAATAAAGGATCAATTCAGTTAAATTTTTTTTTATTCAGCTGTTCTAAGGAGTGTATTTATTCCTATGGAACCTTATTTATAGTGTGCATACATTCAGTGTACTCCTACAAAACAGTTACTTACTTCCCATGGAGTCCTGCTTCTTCCATCAATCGTCTGAATTCCTCTTTACGTTCTCTCATTTTATTTCTCTTCTCTCTGCGCTCCTCCTCAGCCCGTTCCTTGACATACTTCTCAAATACCTGCTTTCGCTCCTTAGATGTTAAAAGGAGATACCTAGGATCAAAAACTATTTTATGCAGTTCCTTCTCCCATGTGCTGAAAGCAGAAACCTGAAACAATCCATTATAAATAAATTCTAGCCTTGTTTCCAATTAAATAGTAAAAACAAACCTGGATATTTTGTTTAGAAATATTGTATCCATATAGTTCAGTGGTTTTGTATTGAGACTATTTTGAAACAATCAGGATACAACATTTCTACCAGAGAAAACAACAGAATAAATGAGCAGATAAAGCTTAAATAAATGTACCTCCTTTTCTGCCAACATTTCTTTAAATGACTTGATGCGTATCTCAAGTGGTACAATGGCCCTTTCCCTAGCAGCTCGCACCTCTGCCTCGATAGCCGCTTCTTTTCCAATATCAATCTGCTTTTTGTCAGGCTTTGGCTGCTCCTTTGGTTCCTCTGAAATTAACAAATATTATATGCACATGCCTTCAACCACAGAATGCAATGATATACTCCAACAATATGGAACAAGACTTATTAAAAATACAGCTGACAATGGAAATTTTAATTAATTATTTATTAAAATGTTTGAAAATAATATTAAATTAAAGCACATCTGAATTTTACAATATTACCAACACACACACACTGTACAGTCTTTACAAACCTATTGTAATTTAAACAAGTCTGAACAGGTGTACTCTGAAGAATGTCTTTACACCATATCTGGACTTGACAATTCTAAGAATGACAAAGTCCAAGAAATGGCAGTCCAAACCTCAATGACAGAAACTTTGAGGATGAAAGCCCTAAGAGGGGAGTAAGAACCCTGACAGTGTAAGCCCTGAGGCTTGCTCAGGACCTGAAGGCAATTCCTGATGGTGACCTAGCTCTTAGAGGATTGACTTCAGGAGGGAAGCTAGCTGAAAGATGCAACAGGCAGCAAATCAGAATCAAGTAATCATAATGTAACACTAATCATCATTATTTAATAATAATAATAACAGCAGAAGACCGCCATTTTGGGACATTCATACATCATTCGAAAGACGATTCATAAAATAAAATCATATAATACATGTAGCACTTGCTAAAACAATATGTATCCCAGAAATAGCTGCTGCCCCATTTGTACCTTAGGGACAAGGTCTGTCTCAGGTACATGGAAGTACATACCCCATAAAGTGGTGAATAGATGGGATAATAATGTTGCAAAATGGGTGTGATATCAAACAGTTCAAGTGGCAGCACAAAGTTATATGATCATTATACAATCTCTTCACCTGCAAGACATTACAGAAGAAAAGAATGTACCCATAAGGTGTTCTGTGCTAGTGCTGAAGTACAAAGAACATCTACAAACTGTCACTGTCTACAGATCTCAGTTTTTAAAAGCAGTGACTGCAAGAACCAAGTTTGTTTCCTGCAGTCTGAGATGGAAAATCTGACTTACAGCACCCAAAAATCAAAACACTGTAAAGTACACGAGAATGAAACATTTTAAAATGCATCCACATTCTGTCTTGAAGAAAATAAATACAAGTCCCATAAATTTAAAACTGTGAATTATAAAAATACTGCAACATATATAAAATTTTAAAATTTGTGCATTCTCTCTCTTCTTAAAACAGTTTTGTCTGCATACATATAACCAAATATAAACATTTCAAACTTAAGACCTTTGACTGGTTGGTCATCCTTTTTGCTCTTTTTGGAAGGTGTTGGATGATCATCATCACTGCTGTCATTGCTAGTTGCTACCCTCTTTGTAACCCCCGAGGAATTATTATTGCTCAGAGATGAGGTCTGTGTTGAATTTGGTGTATCAGGCGGGCTGGACACCATCTTATCCACATCTGTACGGCCCACCAGATCTTCAGGACGCTCCCATACTGACGTACGTGATGATGGATTGTAAAAGAAAACACGACCATCTCCTGTCCACACAACACACCTGAAATGAGGAATTTTATACGTAGAAATGATATACAGTGAAACCTCTATCCATCGTTCCCGGAACTATCGTTTTCCCGGATGCATCGTCAGTTTTGTTCGGTCCCGAATACATCCCATATAAAATAATGTTACATTTTCCCGCTTCTATCGTTCCTCGAACTATCGTTTTATCGCATCGATCGTTCAAAAATCTTAGTCCCGGCCCACAATGTTCCCGCAATGATCGTTTCTGAGAATTTAAAATGCTGGGTTTTGAGATAAATTAATACCGAAAGACGCACAATGTTTTTGGAATACACAGTAGTGGTAACCTGTTATGTCGCCCAACCAGCACATTCTTTTGGAATGAGGGTCAGCGGTGCAGGGGTGATAGTTGGAGTGAATGGCGGTGCTCATTGTCAGAAATTTTACGATTTTAATTAGGGTGCACTCATATTTCGTTCCAGCGATGCCAGATGGCATGTGCAGTGTGAATTTCTTCACAAATGCTTTTATTACAAGTACAAAGGAAAGGCTGGC